GAGCGGCCTGCTTGCTTTTCCAACCCTCCCCACGCTGTGCCCGCTCTCGCCCTCGCCGTTCCTCGGGATCCTGCCGGAGCAGATTGCTGCTGTGTGGGTGGTGAACCTCCACACGGGTTATGCCAGACCCCTGTGGCACCCACGTTTCTTCAGGCGTCGTTTAGCAATGATGAATTAATTAAGATCAAGGCTGGGAGCAGGGACGCAGACTGTGAAGCGCTTCTGCCCAGCGGGGAGCTCTGTGCAACCGTGGTGCCCAGCCTGAAAACATAACCCTAGGGCACGCGCGGGAGCGTTACGCCGGATATCTATTAATAAACCTTTTCTAACGATGCAAATTGAGGCGCGTCAGGTGCCGGCTTGGAGGGGGAAAAGGGCCAAGAACGGGTGGGTTTGCTAATCCTGGCTGTGGTTTCCTGTCTTCTCGCAGGGCGCGGATGTGAACTGCATGCACGGCACCCTGAAACCGCTGCACTGCGCCTGTATGGTGGCTGACGCCGACTGCGTCGAGCTGTTGCTGCAGAAGGGAGCAGAGGTAAAGGCTTTTAAAGAACAAAAACACCTTAAAAATGTAAAGGGCCCTTTGAAAAGGGCCAGGAAGTCAGGAGGCGGCAGCAGGTGTTAATAAACAGCTGAGATTTGAGCCGATGGTTTAAGCAGTGCCAGTTTTGTGCCCCCTCTTAAGGCAAAATGGGCCTGGGTGAAGGTTTATTATCCCAGTAGGGAGTGAAATGTTTGTGCCTGAGATCCTGGGGGTGCCTGCTCATCCGGGGAGGGAGGGTAGTTTTGCAGTGGAAGCCTGAAGGAAGAATTGAAGCCTATATATTATCATCATAGAATCATTTCTGATTTTTGGCATTTCCTCCTGGCCGCTGGCAGGTTGTACCCCCCACTCCCTGCCTCATTTTCACATCTGCTAAATGTGGGATGTGGGAACGGTTTCGCGCAGCGCTGGTGGAGCTTCCCCTGATGCCGGCAGGAGCTGGGGTACCTCGGTGACCCCCAAATCCTTTCTTCTCCCTCCCCTTCTCCTGTAGGTCAACGCCCTGGATGGCTACAACCGAACGGCCCTTCACTACGCGGCGGAAAAGGACGAAACCTGTGTGGAAATCCTCCTGGAGTACGGGGCCAACCCCAACGCTCTGGATGGCAACAAGGACACCCCGCTTCACTGGGCCGCCTTCAAGAACAACGCCGAGTGCGTGCGGTCGCTGCTGGAGAACGGTGCCTTGGTGAACGCCCGCGATTACAACAACGACACGCCGCTCAGCTGGGCAGCCATGAAGGGTAACCTGGAGAGCGTCAGCATCCTGCTTGACTTCGGGGCGGAGGTCCGGGTGGTTAATTTGAAAGGCCAAACCCCCATCTCGCGGCTGGTGGCGTTGCTGGTTCGGGGATTGGGTACGGAGCGCGAGGATTCCTGCTTCGATCTTCTCCATCGAGCTATTGGACATTTTGAGCTGAGAAAAAATGGCAGCATGCCCTGGGAGGTCACCAGGGATCAGCAGCTCTGCGAAAAGCTCACCCTGCTCTGCTCGGCCCCCGGTACCCTACAGACGCTGTCGCGTTACGCCGTGCGCCGCAGCCTGGGTGTGCGGTTCCTGCCGGAGGCGGTGAAGCAGCTGCCCTTGCCCACCTGCCTGAAGGACTACGTGTTGCTCCTTAGCTAAGCGAAAGACGAGGCGCCGGGGCTCTTCCACGTTGGCGTTCGGCTCCCTTTGTTACTGCTTCCTCGCGGCAGCGCAGGGAATGAGGTTGACCGCTTGGTTTGAGACTTGTGGGTGCCAGATTCCCCTCCCCGGTCACCGTCCCGGTTTTCATCCTGCTCTGCTCCTCTGCCTGAGCTGGCGCAGGGCAGCGGGGACCCGCCGGTGCCACTCGCAGACCGGCTCCATGTTGTCTCTCTGCCCGCAATGCCTCTTCAGCGGCTCCTCCCACGCACTCTCCCCTTGATTTCAGCGTCATGAGATGAAAAGTCCCCCTTTAATGGCAAATTATATCCCAGCTGTTGGATTAACCTGGGTTTTTTTTTTCCTTTTTTTGATGTTGGGGCAGACCTTGGGGAAAGGCAGGCTTTCTAGGTGTGGGGAGAATGGGGAAACCCTCCTTCTTTGAGGACGTGAGGCAGGAGATCAAGAGAAGGTGTTGTCAGACCCAGAGAAGCCCTGTGGAACGTGTCGGGTGGAAAAGCCCGCCCTAAGCGCGCGTAGCGAGCCTGTGCGTTGTGTAACAGTGCAGGCTGGCGCCTTTGCTCGGCGCTAACGCCCGTGCGCAGCCACGGCCGCAGCACAACACCCCGCAGACGGGGCAGAGCTTGCGTGTCTGCTGCTCTCCGTGCTTTGGGCAGACACGAGGCGTCACTTCAACGTGTGGGAGTATTTTTTTTTCTTTTTTTCCCCTTCATATATATAATTTTTAAGATGCATCAGCGTGGTAGAGGGGAAGAGGGTGGAAGCACCTCAAAACCCAAAGCTTTGTGGGGCTGTAATTCCCGCAAGCGGAGGAAATGTTTCCCTCCCTCTCTGGAGGAGCGCTGCTCAGAGCGTGGGATGCTCCATGCCCTGGAGCAGAGGTTTCCCTCCCGCCTGCCACGCAATAACCCACCTGAGCTCTTCCTCAGCTTTGGTTTTGCACCATCAACTCGCCATTTTGTTGTTGATTTTTATTTATGTGTGTGTATGTACAGATTTTTAGGAGGAGGCGTGAGGACGCGCTGGCAGCGGGCAGGACCCC